TCTTCTCCCCGCAGGCTTCTTTTGGGAGTTCGAGCCCAGGTGCGTCCTCGCCCACCTCTTGCTCCGGCAGCCGGCCTGCCGCCTGCCCACCGCCGCTCCCTCTTTCCTGCTCCTTCCAAAATCTGTCCCTTCGTAGCCTTCCTAACGCTTCATGTGCATGCAATTAGTCGCCTGCCACATTTTTAAGAGAAGGAAATGTAGGCTGTGGAGTCTTTCCCTTAACTCTGGTTGGAGTTAGTGGTTGGCTGCTCGGAACCCAAAATGAAAACAAAGTTTTGTAGTGCTCTTAAGCTACATGGCTCAGCAAAGCCATGTAGCCTGGAGAGAGACTGCTTCTCTTGTTGCTGATAACTACAGGCTTGTGTAAATTTTTGATGTCTTGGTAATGACAGAAAATGTTTAAAATCATAATGATAAGTAATTTTTAAGGCATTAACTGTTGTTAAAGGTCTTTGGAATACTTTACACAAGCAAGCGTAGTTAACATCAGCAGAGCTACTCTTGTAGAAGTATTTGGGGAATGCTTCTATGTATCTGCCTTCTGCATCGACTGTCATCCTTTTTAACTACTCTTACAAAATTTATTGAGCTTGTATTTTTTAATATGGTTTTATATATTTTAACTGGGATATTGGGCATTCAGAACTACTAAAGAAGTGGGACTTTTTTTACCTGAAGTCTGTGAGTGAAATGGAACTTGGAACTTGCACTTGAGTTACTCGAACATAAAATGACTTAGAATGGCGATTAGAAGCAATGATCTTGAGCACACATACATATAAATATATATTAGATTAAGGCAATTGACACTTCCTTAAAACTAGATCAGGATGTGATAGCCAACAGCAGGAAAATTCAACATGTAATGTCATTATTGTAATTGGAGTAGTGTTATCAGCTATACTGAAAGTTCTAGGAGACCATAATATGAATAGCACATGAATGAAAAGCATTTTTAGCCTGAATGCACTCTACAGTATGATATTACAAACTTTCACAGTATTGTCTTAAGCAAGATAAACGGACAAAGTTTACTTTAATTACCTGCATATAAGGAATGAACACTTAGCATAATTGCTGAAAAATTAGGTAGATGCCTTAAGACTCAGAAGTGTTAGTATAAACAACTGTCTCTTTCAAGGCTGGAAGCAGTGCAAAGAGGGATGCTGCTTTATTTTTTTAAAAGGATTTAAAATTTGTAGCTATTTTCTTCAAAACTTCTGAAGAAGTTCTTACATGGAAATAGTTCTTAATAGACCTTTTCTTTGCAGCTTGTAAGGCAAGGATTGCAACAGAGCACTAGTACGTAAGAACTAGAAGGGGAAACCAGAAGTGAAAGAGAAATATCCTAATCTGTTTCTTTTCTCCGTCCTGAAAGCCTTCAGAAAATGAACATTAAAGAACAAAACAACCCTTCAATTCATTGATTTTCATTGTAGAACACTGACTTTGCGGTGCAGAATATTTGCATCTTTAAAACTTGTTGGATCTAATGATAACCTTTCTGACAGTTGACAAAATGCACTTAAAATAATAGCAGTGCTTTATTGATGACTTAAGAGTATGCTCTTGAGTAATTAAAAAGTGCCTGTTGGACCACAGAGCCATCACAATGGCTTGTTGATTAATGTGATGCATTAGAAGCATTCTGTTATTTCTGGTATATTTTCCTCAATATTTCTTCCAACTGTGCTATATTTATTCTTCCTTTCTAGGTCTAGTGCTAAGAATTAAATTAGTTTTAATAAAAGATCCATCTATAAGGCCAAACTCATCTGAAGCGAGTCTCATTGTTTATTTTGCTGTTAGTAGGAAACTGATTCATAAACTAAGTTAGCTGTTTACCAGTGAAAAACTATGCTTGTTACCGTATAAATCACATACATACAATCAGAGTCTGTAAATGACAGTCTTGCAGCATCTGAAATCTTGTGACGTGTGTGCTTTGTACCTTAATGATGATTTCTAGGAAGTTTTGAACAATCTTTTATTCAGTAAAATACTAATTTGGTGTTCTACTGTCTGAAACTTTGTTTTAGAGTTCAGGTACTTCTGCCAAGTACTCTATACTGCAAGGGAGAAAACCGCACCTATTACTTACAAATACAAAAATGGAAGACCAGCTAAAGCAGCTGAATTTGTCAAGTGGTTAGGAATTTGTTCCTGTTATTCTGTTGAGAGTTCTGACCCTGTATGTAAAAGAATTAATGCAACTGTAATTTCTCTGTGATGTAATTTCATGTATTGGTATAGAAAAAAAACCACTCAAATTAGTTGTTTTTGATAGTTGGCTCTTTATCGTCTGAGGATCATGACTTTGACCCATCTGCTGAAATGCTGGTGCATGATTATGATGATGAGCGAACTCTTGAAGAAGAGGAAATGATGGAAGAAAGCAAAAATTTCAGCTCTGAAATTGAAGATTTAGAAAAGGTAAGAGTGACTCGCTCTCTCATAAATGTCCATACATGTTGTAACTTTTCTAGTGAGAAGAACACTCAACCTGTTCCTCAGTTTGTATTGTATGATGCAGTTTCCTGCAATGTGCCTTTGCAGCTTGTTTAAAAAAGAAAAGAAAAGAAAATGAGGTTTGAGTAGGATATAGCAGTGCATCCTCACAAAACAGCTGCACCCTAGCTTCTCAAAGATACTAGTGTTAAGTTCATATTCTTCTTTTTCATTTAGTAGTCCTTTCACTTTGGTAGAGAAATCGCTGAAGCAGGTTTTTAAGTCCTGACATCTAATACCACTTACCACTTCTCAGTTTTGTAAGTTGTATATAAGTTGAAACTGTACATTTTCCATACTGTTAAGCGGCAGCTAGTTGTATTTCTTTCTGTTGGTCAAGTTTTGCTTTTCCAATGTGCAAACAAACAGTCCTGTTTTAGGCATGATGGATCACATTCATTTGCTGTGTAAATGGTAGTTCTATGTCTTAGTTTCATCAGTTTGGCATTTGGTGGGTGTACAAAATCACCAGCGTGCTCCTTGGCTTTTCCTATTCCATCTTACACTCTTTAATTATATGGTTTTCCTATTACGTGTTTTTCCTATTTACACCTCTTGTTCATCTGTGGCAGTGCATCACCCATTTTAAATGCCTGCTGAATGGTGAACACCCACAAATTGGTGCTGCTTCCATTACTGTTCAGTGACCCACTTATACTGCTCAGCATAACTGCAGATTTTGGTCAACAGAGTTCCAGGAAAGTGTAATTTTTAGCATCAGATATGAGGCTGTGTTTTTGTAGTCCATGTGAAAACAGATTTTCTAAATGTGGAGTTGACAGTGTTTATACTCCTGATTATTTTTTTTTCTTGTACTGCTACCTTTGCAATTACATTGTTGCTGATTATGAACTTGCAATTACAATAGCAAAGCAGCTTGCCAAGCCTGGTGGTTAAAATGGAGTTGTTACTCCACAAAATTATCTTGTTGCTTCTATAATAGAAGGAAGAAGAACTGAGAGCCACTCATCTTAAACACTTTATTACTTTAGGTCCCGATCCTGGAAAGACTTGGACATGAGTTTACGTTTACCCATTGTGAAAAGTCTTTGCAGGACTAAGACCTTAGCTGACTAAAGAAAACAAGTAATTTAATCAGTGTATGAGTTCAACAAGAAATTTTTAAAGGTAATATAACTTTTAAAGGTACAAATATTGGAAAATATTTTTAATATTTTGATAGCTTGAATCAGGTAACTAAAAATATTTCCACTGTTTATTGTTTTATTAATTGCATTAGGGTGCAAGTGTGATGATACTTAGTAAAATCACTTGATCAAAAGCTGTTGGAACAAACAAGTTATAAATCAAGCCTTTCTCTTGATTTTTGCCTTCTGTATCATTAGCTGTCTTTCTCCTATTACCTTGCCAATGGGCATAAAATATATTGTGTGGGAGATAGGAAAGGAGGGCTTAGAAGGTGCTATATTGGTTTAGTTTTGTGGGGTTTTGCACACTTGCAGCTCTAACTATGTAGGACTAAAGTCTTGGAAGTTTTTCTGCGTATCTCTCTTGTAGGGGGGTTGTTAGTGTTTCTAGGATATGTTTTCTCTTAAAGAAATACAGGCAAATCATGCTCTACAATATGAATCAGATAAGGAGTGAATTTTCAATATTTACTCTTCAGTTCCATCCAGTAAACAGTTTTCTTCAATAGCTTGATGGGACTTCACTATATGCCAAGAGACATAGTTGTGAATTATTTCAGTCCTGTGCCTGAAAATACTTGAAACCTTTAATCAAGAGTCCTGCTTTCAATTAAGTTTTTCTTGGTTTGTTTTTTACTTTTGTTCTTCAAAATATGTCTTATGCTCTTAGGCCTGAACTGTTCACAACAAGTATTTGGCAATATGTTGAAATGTTTGTAAATCTTCTTATATTAGGAAGGAAACATGCCATTGGAAGATTTACTGGCATTCTATGGCTATGAACCAGCGATTCCAGTTATGGTCAGTTCCAGTGCGGATAGCTCTCCAAGTGAACTTGCAGATGAACTTCCAGATATGACTCTAGATAAAGTAAGTTATAACTGTTTTCCCCTGTATTGTGGTTTAAAAGCAGAAATCCAAGTGACCTTAAATTATATTTCGTTATGTCTTAATGTTACAAAACATGTATCTTTGTTCAAATTTCAATATACAGTGTTACTCTGAATTCAGTCTTTTTCAAGGATATTGAGGATCTGATTCTAATTGTCACACAAATGGAGAGTAAATTCAATAGCACTGCATTACTACAAGTGAGAAATAAATAAGTTAACAGTTCTTCTAAAACACATCAGAAGAACTTTAAATAGATAGGGTTTTTTTTAATAGAAGTGGGATTTGTTTTATAATGTATGCAATATCCAGAAGTGATAATTGCTGCTTCCAACATGCATGTCAAGTATCAATAATGCATTGCTGAATGCTTTGGAATGTTGCTTTCAAATGCATATCATTTGGAAAGGTCTCAGCTTTGGAGGGTGCAAGAGAGATTGTTTTATGTGCAGTGACTGTATGTGTTGCATTGCTGATGTGAAAACCTGTAACTTCAGGTTTTGTGATTGGCAAGCTAACCTTGAATTCTGAGATTTTAATCTGATTTTTGTCTATAAAGCGTATGCAGCTAGTAGTTTGGATTATAAAGTACGTAGGTAGTAAGTATATGTCTTTTTTATTTTTTTAATTTCTGTGAGTATGATGTAATGGTAAACTCCACAGAAAGTAGGCTATAACGATGGCTCTGCACATCTGATTCTCATTAGGATTCACGATTGTGTTGAGGCTACAAAAATGTAGCCGGCTTGTTGTCTAATACAGTTCTTTCCCTTCCTAACCTCTATAGAGAGGGGTTCAAACATGTCAGCTAGTGGAGGAAGTGTGCTTTTTCTTTCTTAATATCCTTTTTTTTTTTTTTTTTAATCTACAGAAACATTAATGTTTTTGTGTTTTGGGAAGGTAACAGGTTGTCAATTATCTGTAACTGTCCTCTCAGCAAAACTCTATGAAACTGCCTGGCTTTTTTTTCCCCGCCAAGAGTTTAAGGGGTAATAGCCTTTTAAAGTTTCGGTATATCTGTGATGCAAAGAATGACAGAATTTTAGAGATTTGAGGCAGTTTCCACTGGCATTTGTCACTGGAAGCAGTTGGAAAAACATTTGAGATTGATGCTTGCGAGAGTAACTTCTTGTCTGTTTATTTTAATAGAAAACAAAGGGGAAATTAACCCGTGTTCAACTCTGAAATGAATGGTTATATTTGTCCTTAGATTTAGGAGGAGTGAACTAACTTTTTAATTAATGGTCTGCTAAATTTATTTATGGTAAAATTATTTGTTTTAATTAATGAGACTTAGAATTTGCTGGATCTAAATGCTCACCAGTCTATACATAATAATCAGTCTGAGGTTTTATTTTTTTATTTTAATGATACAGGAGGAAATCGCTAAAGACCTCTTGTCAGGTGATGATGAAGAAACACAGTCTTCTGCTGATGACTTGACACCATCAGTTACTTCCCATGAAGCTACTGACTTCTTTCCTCGGCCATTAAGATGTAGGAAACCTACTTTTATAATAGTACTCAAAAAGTTTTGGCATTATATATAGCTTCCTAACTTAAAGTATCAAAATTGCAGGGTAGTGCTGACTTCACCAAGAATTGAGAAACAGTGCTTTGCAGGATGTTGTACATGAATGTTCTCTTTGGCTGGTATTACTGAAAAAACTTGTATTTGGTACTGAGCTTAAAGCACAAGTAAAATTAATTTTTCTACAAATAGAGTAACATCATAATTGGTAGTTAATATGGTATTGAGGAACACACTTCATGATTTTCAGTATGTTAGTGAATTATATGAATATGTAACCCATTCTTTTAAATTAGTGTTTCTCTACTAAAATTTTTGCTGCTGCTTTTAAGCCAGTGACGACTCCATGCAGCCTGCGGATGTGAACTGGGATGTGGTTTCTTTGTGATAATTTCCCTTCACACATTCAACACTTTTCCATAGGACTTCATGGGGTGAGCCAAAGTGGTTTTATATGGGATGGGGCCTATAAACCCATGACCACCAAAATTTCTCTACCCATGGAGCTATTATGGGACAGATATGAGAACCAGTGGTTCAGCTATCCAACCTGGATGAGGTAGTCCTCATTGCCTGTTGCAGCTCATTTGTTCACTGGCGTACTGGAGTTAGAGCAATGTGGAGGATTTTTATCACAGTTTTAATTTGGCAAGTATCTTAATCTCTTCCTGGGGGGTTTCATTCCTCTAGAGAAGGGGAATGATAAAGGGGATGTGCTGCCTTAGTTGTCAGCAGTTGTAGCCCATTGCATGCTGCCAGTTGTGTAATAAATATGAGACATTTGTGTTGAAAGAGATACAAAAACCTTAAAAATTGTAATGTCCTTTCTTCAGTTAAGTGAATACCAGACTTGCTGGCACTTAAATATTGCTTGTGAAGTGTTATAGAATATGACAGACACTAAAAGTGTGGCAGCTTTGTAGAAAAAATGATTAGCCATTCATCTTACTGGAGATTAAGAAACAGTCATCTTTGTTTTCAGCTATAATGGTTTTCTATCAGAATGTTACTTTCTCTATTAGAACTCTTGGCTGGACATTTTAAAATTGAATATCCACCATTTCAGGGAGGGAGATGTCAGTTCTCTGTGCTGCTGGCAGTTTCGTCTTTTTTTTCTGATCTCTGTCCATTTCTCGGATACTAAGATAACATTAAGTTTTAAGGTAAACATGTCTAATACATAATATAGGCTATTTTATTAAATTTGTATTAATTGGAAAAAAATAATTGCATATGATAATCCAGGCATTGTTATTTCATGCATTAAGGCTAGCTTCTTGCTTGCTGCTTCTAAAAACAAAAAGAGATAGACTGGTGATTGGAGTAATGACTACAGAAGAAGAGCCTCAGTTCATACAGTCTTGGATATTGTCCCTGATGTTGACAATTTTGTTTAGTTGTGACGAAGCTAAAATTGCAACCCTATTTATGAGCATGTTGTTTATGAAGCTTGAGAATACAAAATAGTTTTAATCCTATCAGAACTGCAGATTCCATTCTGCCAGGGGTTATACAGCTGTGAAAACAGAATTATTTCAGAACCCAGTACCACAGCATTCCAGATTCTGAAATACGAGTTCTTCTATGGAGTACTGTATTTGAATCGCTTGGAGTGCAAGAAAAGGAAAAAAAAAAAAAAATTAAAGAGGAATAAGCAGTCTTTTGCTGTCTTTTGCTTATTCCATTTTGTATAGCTTTCCTGTATCTTCACTCCATGCAAAAGGAATCTTTTGAATGCCCATTAAAACTTCTGATGAAAGGTTTTAGTAGCTAATAAAGACATGCCTTCAACTGTACTTTCTCTGATTAACCTGAGGCTAAGTCATAGCCGTGGAAGTTTTCTGTTTTTCTCATACCTTTTCTGTAAGATATAAGCCTTTATTGAGAAAATTGATGAAGAAAAATGATCTCATTTCATTTTGACTGTTGGAAACATAGTAGTTTGTCTCAGATGCAGTGATGATAAATGTTTCAGTTCTGCAGTATGCAAGTACCAGTGCCTTCTGACTTTGTGTGAGTTTGATAGAAATGTAGATTAACAGACTTCTGATAGAAAGGTAGCTCAACAGAGTCATGATAAGCATCTTCCAGAATAAAAGCAGGTGCTCCTTTCAAAAGTAAAGGGTATCTTGTAGTTCTGTATTTGAACTGGAAATTATTCCTAGCTAAAACCAAACTTCTTTGTGTCTGAAGCAAACACTACGTGTGATGGAGATAAGGAATCAGATGGTGAAGATGTAGAGGCAGACAATGGCAATTCATCTGAAGATTTGAGAAAGGTAATAATTATATTTTCTAAAAAAAAGAGAAACTTTACTGTTAAGCAAAATGCATTCAGATTTGTAGTACTTATCTAAAGTACTAACGTAATTCTGGAATTCTCTGCCAAATGCCAGTTAATGGCATTTTTAATGCTTCCATACACAAAATATTAAGTTAATACCTTTCTCTACCTTTTTGTTACATCTTCAGGAGATAATGGTTGGTTCACAGTACCAGGCTGAAATTCCACCTTACCTTGGCAGATACAGTGATGATGGAAAGGGTAAGACCTTCTGACTGTTTTACTTTTTATTTTATATTTATACATAGCAATAGATGGAAAAATGTTACTTAAGTTTATAAGGTAAATTTAGTGGCTTAGCTAAAGTCTCAGAGACCTTAAGAAGAAAGGCACTAGAAAACTGAAGTAACACAACCACATAATTGTATCTCAGAAACGTGATTCTTCAACTTTGAGGGGACGTTCTCAAGAAAACATCGCAGAGTGGATTACAGTGTTAATCCTGAAGTATCTCATAACATTAGGAGGCAACAAACGGTGGGTCGAGAAGGAAATATTTTCATCAGAGTATCATAACTGGACTATTAGCATGTAACCTAGCTTACACTGAAGATCTTCAAAACAGTATTTTTCTTTGCTGATTTTATGGCAAGGACAACAGTGTGGGTTGCAAAATGAATACAGAAAACAAAGCAATAAACTATTTTAAATTTCTATAGCATGACTAGAAGATGTAGGTCCTGTTAACAGGGGATGACCAGGAAGGGGTTAATCTGGCAACTTTCTCTGGAATGAGCTAGTGCTAGAGACAACCATTGAGACTCTTGTGTGCTAGGATGGCCAAGAGCAAATCGGTAGCTCCCAGATTGGAGAGCCTGAGGAATTCCTCTTGAGGTTTTAAGTCGAGGACTTCAGCAAGAAGAGCTGGGTTGTCTTGGTTGATAAAGGAGGTTGAAGCTGAGCGTCAGCAGTGCTTGGAGAGGTTGGACCTGGCTGTAGGGTGGGAGGATTCTGTGAAAGCCTCCTCTGTACTCCCTGAAGAGCTTGTGATGGCGAACGGGGACTTACATTTCTGCTGTGTAGTCCCAGCTACCAGATTTTTGCTAGCAGGCAGTTCTGCTCTTCTGTAAACCTTACATTTGTAACAGGTCTGTTCAAAAGCTTTCCGTGTTCTTAAGCCATAACAGAACTTTCAGAGGAGATGTAATTTTATTCCTCACCTTAGTTTAATGTTGTTTTCCTGCAGTTTTATGAGAGAATTGAGAATCTTCATCTTTTCTACTCTAACAGCCATTATGCTTCTGTGTTTGAATTGAGTAACTCTAATTTTGTATTGCCAAGAGACCATGTGAAACATTATGTGGCGTGTTAATCACATCTATTGATAAGAGTAAAGGATTTATAGTTTAATCTAGAATTGAAACGTGCACGGACTGACAAAGGCTCAGGCCAACTCTTGCATATTTCCAATATATTGTCTTTCAAATAAGCTACCGAAGAGGTGCGTACATGATTTCAGGGTACTATGAAGGAGGACTGTACATCCTGATTGCTTGTAAAGTATGCAACGTACAAGTTCTTAACAGCATTCAGTTGTTAGTGAATGGAAAAACATATTACCACATTGAGACATAGCTTTCCAGTCTGTTAAGTAATTTTTGGCAAATTTTAGTTGAAAACGACTGATTACCCACCTCTTCTTTTTTTTTTTTTTTTTCCCCATGTAATATTTGAAATATTGTAATGTCCTACACTCTTTTACTGTAAACTATAGTTTATTTTTTAAAAACAGCTGAATAAAACTGTGAATGATTTTGCTAGTTTGTTTACATGAAGATGATGAATACACATGCATAATTTGACTTGAATCGTCTAGCTGTCAACAAGTTGCTCCTCTGTAAAGACTCTTCGTCTCAAGAGTTCAGTCCCTTATCTCACCCTCATGGAACCCAAACTTCTTTGCCATGCCACACTGCAGAGTCTGTCTCTTAACTGAGGCTTTTGGGCAAAAAGTAAGGTGCAATTTAAAAGTGGCATGATGGTGCTTGATTTGATTACTTCTGTGTTCCTGTTTCTTGTCTTTGTGAAATAGCTTTTAATGTTACAACGTTAAAAAATGTCACCCTTGGTGTTAATGGATTTCTGTTTTAACAGCATATGAAAATGAAGACCATTTACTTTGGAAACCTGATGTGATCTCGGAAAGTAAAGTTAAAGAATACCTTTTTGAAACCTCCTTAAGAACAGGAAATGAAAAAATGATTGGCAGAATTCCTGAAGGACTACATACACGGGACAATGAACAAGTATGTTTTATATCTTCCATTTGTGACACATTGCTTTGTAATTAACATGTGTCCTCTTTCTCTACCTTGTATTACAAAGGCAGCAATACTCAATGTCTTTATATTTTTTTTATTAGATGTTACTGGGGTCAGGATCTTATTTTTAATTTTAAGCACATGCTTAAAATTACAAGTATTTGAATGTTGGCAGTGTTGTGATCTGTGGTGTTTCTGATTGCCGTGCTGTTGACAAATCCAGCTTTTTTAATAATTGCATATAATGTTTTAAATTTTAATTAAACCTTGCCTCAACTTTTGGATGGTTTTGCTCTTTGGTTGTTATTTTAAATTTTTCATCATGTATAAAGATAAATCCTCTTTTTTACATTAGATATGCCCACTGAAAGGCTAGTTTTAGAGGTATAGATTGGATATTTGCAAACTTTGACTTTTTCTAAAGACTTTTTCTACTTTATAGGCGCTGTATGAACTTCTTAAAAGTAGCCATAATGTTAAAGAAGCAATTGAGAGATACTGCTCAAATGGAAAGGCATCTCAGGGTAAGAGAGAGTACCTGTTTTTTCAGAAATCTGTGTTGGGGGAGGGGGGGAAAGGTTGCGTAAAGTAAGAGTCAGATTGATGACTGCATCCTTTTCAATGACATCTTTAGCACAAATTACGTATAATCTGACTGTTGGCCGGTTGGAAATTCTTGCTAGAGAAGTTTGCAACATGTGTAAAGGTTGAGGATCAGCTTTTGACCTTCCCTTCTTTCCTTCATTGCTGATATAATAGTGGCACATGCTGAAGAGAGAGGTGGGGGTGTGGTGATTTTGCTCCCATAAGACAATTCTCACCCACATTACAGTATGTTTTTGAGATCATGAGGAATTACAATCATACGACGTTTATACCAGAATCAGGAGAACATGGCTAGCTGTATAAATAAGCCCTACTGTCTTCCTCACTGTGCTAATGTTGTGCTATGCCAACCCTAAACTGGTTCTACAGTTCCATAGGTCTTTGGTAGTGCGTGGAGAGCTTTGCTTGAGTTTGCAGTGGAAAACAAACTTCCATCTTGTTTGTCCCCATTTTTTTACTCGTTTAAATGAAAGTCAGAGTTTATCATGTAGCAAAGACAGTTCTTTGCTCTGTATTTTAACATATGTGTTGCATAAAGCAGAAATGGAGTATGAGCCTTGGTATAAGTTGATATTCCAGCAGATGTTCCCTACTCAGAACTGGATCCAAATGGAACTTGAGTGTTTACAGGTTAGGTGCTGTGAAAGCTAAATACCTGACGTAAAGGTGAAGAGGACAATAAGGACTATCAGAGCAGTGCTTCAGAAAACTTATGTACAAGAAGAGGTTGTGTAGACCTAAACAATAAGGGGAAGTATCAGTTGCAGGGTTGTATCCTAAGTCCCATACCTCTCTAGGATTTAGATTCCTGTTTTGGGATTAAAAAACATCTCTGCCTATTTGTGGTTTGGAGCCCAAAATTCTGTCCTAAGGACTCACACTCCTCCTCACCCCACCCACCTCCCCACCCCACATCAAGTCAGATGGGACTTATTATACCCTCGTTAGAAATGGTAAAGAATGATAATACTGTCAGTGCCTGTCTCTTAGAGTAACCATTATGCTATGATCTACTCTACCCACTGAAGTTCACTCCTATTCTCAACATGAGAATTAAAAATCTTCCAAGATAATTTCTTAACAGTGAGACTTTACATGGGGATCTTCTCTTCTATTTGAAGCTTGAGAACTCTGTAGTAAGGAGTGCAAAATTAATGGGGTGAGAAAGAAAGAAAATGGCCTTGCAGTGGAATGATTATCACCTTCATCTGGGAGCAGAAAGGTCTTGGTTCCAGTGTCTGCTTGCAGGAATGTTTTGAAATATGAGGGGTTTTCCCCATTGGCTTTGAATGTCAGCTGAATGGAAACTTTTTGGATCACCATTGTGATTGTGAGACACCTGAAATATGCCTTCTTAGTTATATTTAGACCCAAAGCCATAATCAAGATGGAAAATCAGCAATACTTGAGACAAAACTGACCTATTCAAATAGTTTGAGTTACTTCTTTTAAAAAGTCTTGCTCTTTTTTAGTGATTTTTTTGTTGTTGTTTGTAAGACTAAAATTCCACTTTAGAAACTGCAGGGTTGTTTTTGTTTTGGTTTTGTTTTTTTTAAAAAAGAAATTTGGAGCTCCTCCTTAAGAAGTCTGAAAGGGTTATTCATGGGATCTTTAGGAGCAGATGGTTGTTGCTTCCTTCCGGGTACCCTGATACCCCCTGTTTTGAAAAATCCTGGATCAGACTACGTATAGTCCCAGTCAGTTGACCCTGTATGGCTACCTGAGGTATGCCTAGCGCTAAGGCTTTCCTCCACGGTTTATTATGCCTTTTCTGGGGGTCCACTACCTCACCAGGGTGTTTATGAGATTGGGGAAAGTGTCCAGGGTTCTGGGGAGACTGTCTTACTTGCTGGATCCATCTGCTGTCTGTGTCAGCTCGGAATCGCCCTGGTGTCAGTTTATCCCACCCCATTTCTCGACTATGATTTACAATGCCATACACCAAGCCTACCCATATCGAGAGGGCTCAGAAGTGGAATTGGCCACCCTGACCCTTGTGAGTGTTATGTTCTATGTTTTGTCTTATTTTATTCCTTTTTGCAATGAGGTACAACTTTAAAACAGCTGGGGCTCCCGTTATTAGTGGTTTCATGGCTTTAGGGTCTACAGGGACAGAGATAGGGTAATCACCATGTGCATCTCTGTTGTTCATAGCCTGAAGGCAGGCTGCTTTTCTAATGGCAGTAAGAAGTTCACTTAATGATCTTATTGGTATAGCAGTGGGCTCCCCTCTATCCTGAGGGTCTGTGCCTCCTGCCCAATACTCACTCCTCAGTGGGTAATAGCTTGTCATTCAGTGTTAGGGGATGGTCGCTTATTCAAGAACACTCCTGGTCCCTAAAAGCCGTCCTGATCTAACGTAATATGATCTCCTCCAGTTAAAGAGACATGCCAGAGACACTCAGTCTTGCTTTCTTCAGGTTTCTGCCTGTATTTTTCATGCAGTTTGGCCAGTTGAAGGGGGTCCCATGGAGCAGACTTTAGGGTGTTTCTCTGGTTGCCCCCTTAAGGTCTGGCACATACCTCAGTTTTAATAAGAGGGACTACCTTAAATGCTGATTCATCTAATTCACTCTCACCACTAAGTTCTTCCTTGAGGTCCTCCCAAATATCTCCATACCAATCTTCTGAGGAAATTATTAGCTTACAAATTTTTACAGGATGTGAGGGGGTTGGAGGCCTGAATTATCATGAGTTCTAGCTTATCCTCGACCTTCCTGGGTTTTTCTTTTTCCTCCCTGAGTTGTTTAAGGAATTGGTCTGTTCACAGAGGTAACAGCATTTCTTGTCATTTTCTTTGTTCAACCTCATCTTGTAACATTCTAATTTCTTGTTCTTCATATTTGTTATACTGATATGCAGCTCCTAAATACTTCTTCAACATGTTGTATATTATTATTACCTTCTCTTTTACCATCTTTCAGTTTCCATCTTACAAGGTTCAACTGTTCTTTTATCTTACGTTAATTATCCTGCTTTTCACGCACCCAATCATCTGAAAATTTCAGTGAAGGGTTAATTCTGTGCCTCTGTAAGTAGTCAGTGATTGAATCTGTCATCCTGCCAGCTATGCTGATTTTTGTGGCAGGTGAATTACTAAGAGTCATCGTTAAGAGGTTAACTAAAAGGTTTTATTAATGATTAAATGATCAAATTATAATTAATCGATGATTGGTAATTAAGTTGTAACTAAGCAGTAACGGAATAGTAATTAAACAGTGATTTAACAATAGTTGATAACTAGGCGGCAGTCGAACACTCTACTACTTACTACACTTCTAATAATTATGCTATAGCTTGATACATATACATGTCACCAGCATACAGTATACTTTTAGGCTTAGTGTAAAGCGTCACTTACCTTGTTACAGCCATCAGGTGCTGGGTAGGGGGTGTCTCAACCCTGAAGGGTAACCTTGAGAGGTGTCCCTTCCCTGCTCAAGGGGAGGTCACCTCTGTTCAGCCTCCTGCCACGCAGGAGAGCTCCATGGGCCCGGCGGGGGCTACAGGTATTCGTAGTGTAAAGTGACTTTGATGTACACGCAGGTGTGCAGCTGTAGCAGTTTTAGTTTTGTCTAGTCTCAGCTTAGGCTGGTACTGCTAGATGATAAGACATGTCCTGATAAGACGTGGCCTAGATTCCGTGGTTCCTGAGGATATAAGGCCGAGCACAGTTGTCATAGTTTGCACAGCAAGGCTGATCTCAGTCAAGCCCACTTCTTGGTGATGCCTGAACCAAAGTACTGCTCACTGTTTTTTCCAACCACCACTGTAAGAAGAAATACTCAGAGAAATTATCTCACTTTTGCCTCAGTGATGTTATCAAACCTTGTTTTTCTGATGACAAACTTTTTCAGAAATGTTAAATCAAATCTTTTGAATGTCCTTTGCCCTCAAGGATAAAAGATTTCAGAAATCAAACTCTTATGAGTCTTTATAAAGAAGAATGTTAGATTCCAAGTAGGATATCTGTACAGTAGAGGAAAGAATATGGATCTAAATCATTGAACTATTGGGTTTTTTTTAGAATGCGTTTGGCTATTCATCTGTTAGCAACAAATATTTTATTCTTTGTAAAAGGTTAGTGAGTGAAATCAAGTTTATCATGCTACTTTTGTAATTGTCTAGAAGAGATGACAGCATGGACAGAAGAAGAATGCAGAAGCTTTGAACACGCACTTCTGATATATGGAAAAGACTTTCATCTCATACAGAAAAACAAGGTTAGTATTTTACAGTTAAATGGAAGAATTGGTAGATGAAACGATGCTGAAAATCTGTAAAAGCAATACATTTATCAGAAGCTATGCAGAAAAGTGAAATAAGAACCAACATAATAAAACTAGCTGGGTATTTTTGGGCTAATTTTTTCTCAGATGTCATTGGAAAAGCTTGGCATTGCAAGATGAGTCAATGTATTATCTCTGAAATCGACTTATGTTGACATTACTTCCATTTATGCAATTATATTATAATTTAGCTTAAATGTGTGTCTCTCCTAGAAGTACAGTATTTCTATACCGTGGCTGTGGGAGGGGAAAATGCATCTTTAGTTAACTTATTTTTGTTACCAGGAAGGTGTAGGTTTACAGAAACAGGCTTAAGCTCTTTGTTTTCAGAAAGTGTAGTCATCCATCAGTACTCTGTTTTCTGGCCAGCAAAGGAGTTCTAATCTTGATCTGGATTGCTTCTGATTGAACCCTCTCTGTCTGAAGAATAGGCCTTTTTTTTTTTTTTTCTTTTGATCAAAAAGCAACAGTTGGCAATATGCATGTTTCCAAATTTTTTGTATAGCTCCTTTATGTTTTCATACCACCATGAAGGTTTTTTTCTTCTGGAGTCTGGTGGTTTTGTTGTATTTCAGGTAAACTTTGTAGGGTTGTGGTTGCTGTTCAAGAACAGTCAGCTAGTCCTGCTCAGTATTTGGTTTAGCCTGTCCTAAATTATATATGGGTGGTTCAGATTTTAAATGGACCTTACCAATTAACAGTAATTCATCAGAGATGCAAAGAAACCATTTAGAAATACTTTTTTCCAACATGCAACAAAGTACATGGGTTGATGTATCTGTCATTATGGACCAGAATTTGTCTAAGAAATCCACTGGGTTTTTTTCCAAGTAGGTAAAATGCCAGAAAGTTTACGGAAAGTTCTGGGACCCAGCATAAGCTGATGTCACTTATATATGGAAAGTATCAGCTAGACAAGATTTAGTGCATGGAGAAATTTAACAAGAGATGTTTCCTTATCACTGTACTGCAAAGTGTTGTTAACTGGGGCTTTATATACTAGCATATGGAGATATGTTCATTTCCTCTCCTGCCTGGTGTGTTTGTGTCTAAACTAGCAAGGTTTACTACTACACCCAAGGCATTTTGGATTTGCCTCTGATGTTTCTGTAAGTTTGATTAAGCTCAAGTATAGGTTAGTGCCAGACTATGCCTGGATAGAGTTGTATATTCTAGTTGTAAAACTTAAAGTGGGACTGTGGGCTGATGACGTGAAGTGTTTCTGCGTCTAAAAAATGGATATAGTTTACAAGAATATAGGTAGAAGGAATGACTTTTTCTCCAAGAATCTTGACTTCACATAGCAACCTCCTTTTCAGGGAGAGAGACAAACAGTTAACATAGATCAAAATGAGTCTTTTGAGTCTTTTATACCTTCTCAACAAGACTACAATTTTATTTGGTTGTTTAAGCGTTTACTGTTGTGATTATCTGTTGTCAAAGCCTCCACAGTTCTGGACTTTCCCAAAAGGAATAAGTACCCAGAGTCTATCCTGCTTCACAGTAGGACAAATGTAGTACTTACTTGAAACTGTAGATCTCTTTGAAGTCTCCTAATTTAATTGTTTCGTTCCAGATACTAGAACAGTAAAAGTAGCCATATTGCAGGAATCGGAACTGGGGAGATGACAAAAGTTAAGTCTTTGCATCAATCTTGTCAATTCTTCTTGCCTTCTTTTAGGTAAGAACCAGAACAGTTGCTGAGTGTGTGGCTTTCTATTACATGTGGAAAAAGTCAGAACGTTATGATTACTTTGCTCAGCAAACAAGATTTGGAAAGAAGAGATATAACCATCATCCAGGAGTTACGTAAGTAAAACGTTCTTGGAATATGTTTTCTGTTGCTAATCATAAATGTAGAAGATATTTTTTTCTTTCTGTCATTGCAGTGTAATGCTATAGTGGCTATGGCAACTGAAATGAAATCCATCATCATTTTTAGGCCTTGTTTCCTGGTTAAATAATATAATATGGATGCGATATTCTTTTAGGGACTACATGGATCGTTTGGTAGATGAAGCAGAAGCCCTGGGTGGAGCAGTGCATCCTTCAGCCTTAACATCTAATACTCGAACAGAAACCATTCCTGATCAACAACTAAGCATTCTGAACTCTATCACTGCCAATGAGTTGACAGGTAAATCAAGAAAATTTTTTTTTTTTTTTTACTTGTAACTATGCAAACAACTATTTCATTTGCATTTGTGTTCATCTTTATTCCAGCATTGACAAATAGTGTAGCTACAGTCTGCCACACTTCAGACGTGAACTGCCTGGATGACGCCTTTCCTCCTATGGACAGCTTACCCCGAGCACCAGTTAATCATGTGCCTGTTGGAACAGAAGAATTGCTTAACTTGCCTAGCAATGGTGAAAGTGATTGTTTTAATTTATTTGAGACTGGCTTTTATCATTCAGAGCTAAACCCAATGAACATGTGCAGTGAGGAGACAGAAAGACCTGTAAAGAGATTGAAAATGGGAATTGCTGTCCCAGAATCTTTCATGAATGATGTTTCTGTAAATAACCTTGGTGTGGACTTTGAGAACCACACACACCACATTACTGGTGCCAAAATGGCTGTTTCAGTGGCTGACTTCAGCAGTCTATCTGCAAATGAGACAAATGATTTTATCAACACCCATGCTCTTCACCAACATACTGCCCTTCACTCAGAATGACTGTGGAAAACGAAACAAACAGTGGGTACTTTATGCAGTAGTAGTAAACTTGATGGGAGCTATCAGGTTTGCTTAGTCTTTCACTGGAAGTTTGAACTCTGACATCAGTGATGTCTTTTTATGTATAGAACTATATCTTGATTTATCAAGAGTAATTTCTTCTTTCAGTCCATAAATGTGGAAATGTCATAGGATGTTTGGCAGAGTTTGGGACTAAAAGAACTCTGTGGTGCAGCTTTAAGCTCTGCTTCAGTTTTTTTTTAAAGCCTGTAGACGGAGGCCACCATTTCAAAACCAGCACAGAAGTTCTGAATGGATTGGAGTGGCTTTTTAGTCTAAGTTACTTTTGCCGTAACGGATGCAGTGGAATAACAATGTTTACAGGTACCGATCCTGATCCCTGCTCGATGTAGCATTTTTTTTTTTTTCCTTATAAAGGCAGGGATGGGTTTCTTTAATTTAAACTGCACAAAGATACAAGGATGTTTTTTAAATGGAACCTTCTCTCATGTGATACTAAACTAGAGCACTTCAGTTTACAAAACAACAAGTTCATCTTGGTTGGTGGAAGCTAGCACAAGGGACTTAACATGAGTAAAGTATGAAGAGCTACGCTTGGATGCTGTTGCAAAATTATAGGCCATGGCTACCTTACACCGAAGTAATTATGCTGCCATAGGTGTCTGTGTACTTCAAACTTACTTACTGGCTTAAACAGGTGCATTTTAGGCTATATTGTATTCGGATGGGGTTTGTCCACAACTTTGAAGAGTAATGTGATCATGTACCTTAACTTTCCTAAGGCAGCTGATGTTGTATAAAGCTACAGTCTGCGCAGCTTAGGATTTACCACTAATCAAACAGTCTACATTTGGAGGAGATCTTAAATTGTTTGGAGCACTGCAGTTCAAAGCGTTACAGTTTTGAGGAACTATCTAGTTTATATAAGAAGAGTAGAACCTTGAAGTATGTTTTTGAAAGGTTTTTTAGTGTGGTTTGCATTTATTTGTTTTGCAAGTCATTGGCTCAAAAATGGCACTTCACTACCTTGGTCAAATAAGAAAGGATGAGTAAAAATGTTTTCCATAAAAGCAACTATTTAACTTCAGTAAATTTGTTATTTTGAACACTGAGTGCAATTTAGCCATCCAGGAAGTTTGTCTTGCAAACGTTTGTTCTAATTCTTGCGGGTGAGTCAAACCAAACGTAGTATTGGCCTGTAATGTTGTTGTAGCGTACAACTTGCAGGGTTTTTTTTTGATGAGAATCTGAACCCTACTTCAATAGGATTACCCCTTTCCCTCCATACTTTTTCTTTGCACTGTTTGTATTACAAATTTAATTGCCACTAATTTGTTTTCATTATTCAAATGATGAAGTTTGCGTTGTTGATATTTGTAATAGTGGCTTCAAGGTTATGCTGAGTAATTAGGAAGTAGTGACTTTAATATTTGAAAGGGAAGAGGGTATTTATTATTATGCATACTGTGAACTGCATTGACATCCTGAGTTTTGGATGCAGCTGAGTTTTCTTTACAGCATTGTAATGAAGATTGCTTTGGAATGTTCACGCAGCAGCACATTTACCATATTAAAACCAGATTAGTTTAGCACAGTGGACAAAAGTAGAGATAATTTTGTAATCAGTTCTTAACTTCCACGTCTGAAATACATAACTTTAGTAAGTACACAGTAAATAACGGGTAGCCTTGGCCCTATCTTGTACTCTGACATTTTTATCCAAGTTGTCAGCTTCTTGTTGCTGTGTTTTGTGCTGAACTGTGTACCTTGTTTCTTTTGTTTATGAATCAACACATTTTATGTAATTTGTAAAATACTGGCCATAATCCTCCATTGTTACACATTCAAGTTTATCTATGGGTTTACAGTGAGTGGCTGGTCTGTATAAAAATCATTATACAAAGATGACTGAATGCTTATACCAGTTGCACTTAAATGAACATGCCCATTCTCATTAGCTGATGCAGTAATATATTCAGTTTATCTATGCATTGCTGGGCTCTTAATGTAGGCAGAGACTTGTCTAAGGTTTGGGTTGTCAGCAAGTTGAATGGACACTTTAGTTATTTAATAAAGACTTTTGACCAAAATTCAGAAAATGGTATGAGAGAAAAATGAATTCCGGCTAGTCTAATAGATTTTTAAATGCTGATCTTATTTAGCCTGTTGGCTAGCTAGCTGGTATCGTTTACTTTTAATTCCTTGTTAAAATGAGGCAATAATTTGCAAGATTTTGTAAATATGTAAATTCTTCATATCTTTTTAGATCTCTATTTCAATATTTTCTGACTACTTCTGTGTATAGGAACATTTTTGTGCATGCTTGATGTGACATTCATAAATTTGTACCACTATGACTTTATCCATGTAAAATAGCTATTTATTGAACTTTTCTGTTAAAAGCTGGACTTACTTATTTTTCTCTCAGTTTAAAACATTTAAATGGAGAACTTGTTACTGTTTATTAAAAGAATTGCGTTTTGAAAGTCAGCATGAAGATAACTGAATTGCAACCATATGAAGAAATTACGTTGCCTTGGTTCTTAGATGGTGAAGCACAATTCTTATAACAAACTGTGATGAATTCTTTGTCCTTTGCCACACTTTTTCTTCATACAAACAAACAAACAAACCAAAAAATCCATAATGGGCAATTGCAGTGTTGGTAAATATATCCTTTTTATGTACAGGGAACCTGCAGAGGGTAGGTGATTCATTTAGAAGTGTAACTGGTGCTGTGATTATAGCAATACTTTTAGTTTGGTTGGTCATACATCATCTTCTCATGCTAGGTTTTTAAATGTTTAGTTTTCCTCTTGTCATGGTCAAACCGCTGAATTTACTTGAAGGATGTACAGTACTGTTTGAGGAATACTAAATTGTGTACAATTAGGTCAATGAATTGTGCAATGGTTTCCTGTTTTTAATTTTTAAAACCGAGGGTCAAAAATGCAGGAAAACTTCAGATCAAGTAGAACATAGTGATACTACTTAACTTAACCAAAGTCTCTAGTGAATATTTCAACTTTGAATGTAAACTAATGGATAAACTGACCAACAGGGATACTATTTGCCCAGCATTACAAGCACATTGTCTACAGACAGGGAAACTAAATACAGTAATTTATAAAATAATGACAAGGTTACTATTTTTTTTATTCCTATTTTTCATTGAAAGAAGAAGGAAGATACTATCAATTGTAAAATACAGTAGGAATGGTTATAGTTCTCCTAATAAGACAGAGATTCCAGTTATTCTCAGTTCAAAGTAAGTAGCCTGCACGTAACAACAAGTCTAGTGACAATCGGAACATGTTTTGGTATCAGATGTTCAAGAGGAAGTCGCTGTCGTTGCATTGGTTTTAATATTTGTACATAAACACTGATTTTTTTGAGCATTATTTTGTATTTGTTGTACTTTAATACCTGGTGTACAGTTCCAGAAATAAATGTCTGGAAACCTTTCTTCACTTGTAAAGCTTTTCATGCATCTGCACTATGTTCGCTACTTCATTTTCAGAAATATTTAGCAGTAACTCTGAACACATTTTCAGAACTCCAGGTACTGCTAAAGCACGCGCTACCTAATGTCACACAGAGAGGAGTGAAAAATGCAGCATGCAGCGATGCAGGTGAAATAGTAAGTAATCATTTTCCTCAAATATTAAAACATTATGGCTTAAGTGTAGCAAAATCTGAGATGGAACTTAAATGTATCTTCATCATAATGCATCGCAGCAGTGTAACCCAGTGGTAAAACTACACGGTAAGCTGTGGGGAGCACACTCCTGTTCTCTGGTATAAGAAAACTTGCCCAAATCCTTAAATCCATGTCAAGCTAGATTACAGGTGTGAATACAGAAATTTGGCTCATTTTAGGCCTTAATGGTGAAGTTAAACTATGTGAAAGGCTTTTTGTCTTGATTTTCCTTTCCCTTAAGAAAACAAATGCTAATCTCAGACCCTGAAAAGCACTGTACGACTTCTAAGATCTTAACACACCAGTTTTGTCAAGGGCCAGAATTAGTGCTGTGCTTCCCTAGGCCCAGCGCGCTTGGTTTTCCAACAGCTGCCACAATAAAGCTTCGGGTAAGGAAATGAGTATTTACTTTTTAATTGGATAGGAGTGCAAGCTGATGTCATTCTGAACAGCAAAGATTCTAATTTGCCAAGTAACATAATGAGCTTTGCTTCCCCTGGTGAAGAGATGCAAGATAAGTGTCTTTGCAATGATGGTTGATATAAGCTACAAAACAATACCTACCCAAAACTCTCTGGTGGCGAGCTGCACCTCCCTTTTTCTAGTTGTTTAGCATAAAGATCAGTGGTGTTAGAACAAATCATAATGATGGACCCCATCCAATCCTTTCTTGTTTTGATGCAACTAATCATTCGCTTTGCAATGCTGGAGTCTTAAAAATGGTTTTAATTAGTATATGTATATATAATGTAAACCTCTCCCCCCCCAACTCAGTAGTTACTTCAGCTACTTATATTTCCATTAAAGGAATGTCAGAACACATCTGCTTCTGCCAGTAAAAAGAAAAGCAACCTCTGAAGTCCTCATGGTGCTTGGCTATTTGGTGCCCAAGTCCTCGTTTTGTCCGCAGAATGCAAGGCAGCAAAGACTAGAAGCATAAGCCCCAGCGATCATTTTGTTAAAACACTTCTTACTCGTTCTTGGATTCTTTTTTTTGTTTTCTTTCTTCTTTCTTACACTTCTTTCTTCTTTCTTACACTTCTTTCTTCTTTCTTACACTTCTTATTTTTCATTGAAAGAAGAAGGAAGATACTATCAATTGTAAAATACAGTAGGAATGGTTATAGTTCTCCTAATAAGACAGAGATTCCAGTTATTCTCAGTTCAAAGTAAGTAGCCTGCACGTAACAACAAGTCTAGTGACAATCGGAACATGTTTTGGTATCAGATGTTCAAGAGGAAGTCGCTGTCGTTGCATTGGTTTTAATATTTGTACATAAACACTGATTTTTTTGAGCATTATTTTGTATTTGTTGTACTTTAATACCTGGTGTACAGTTCCAGAAATAAATGTCTGGAAACCTTTCTTCACTTGTAAAGCTTTTCATGCATCTGCACTATGTTCGCTACTTCATTTTCAGAAATATTTAGCAGTAACTCTGAACACATTTTCAGAACTCCAGGTACTGCTAAAGCACGCGCTACCTAATGTCACACAGAGAGGAGTGAAAAATGCAGCATGCAGCGATGCAGGT